GGTGGCGGGGACAACCTCCGCTGTCACTTCGCCGCCGGCCGAGTCCGTGTCTGCGGTGAGCCCCGAGCAGGCCGAGGTGGCGGGGACAACCTCTACCGTTACTTCGGCGCCGGCCGAATCCGTGTCTGCGGTGAGCCCCGAGCAGGCCGAGGTGGCGGGGGACAACCTCTGCTGTCACTTCGACGCCTGCCGAGTCCGTGTCTGTGGTGAGCCCTGAGCAGACCGAGGAGGTGGGGGACAGCCTCTGCCGTCGCTTCGCCGCCGTTGGGCCGCGGCCAACCTGCGGTGCACAGAGAATGCTGGCTCCAAGGACCTCGGACTGTCCATCGTTTACGCCGCTGGCTTCTCTTTCTGACCTGTGACGCGACCAGAGCTGTCACGGTGTGTTCAGCGTACTAGTACGTCGCAGGCGGTGGGCCTAGATGTGGTCCCACTACAGGCTAAGCGGGAATGTTTTTTTTTCAGTCGTCGGTTCTGATCTTTAAAAACTCATCATTATGTCTCTCGTGACTAAAATTTTCCCAGAAAGCTTGAAGACAGTATGTGCTGTACCAGTTCCAAAGTCAGGTGATTCGGCTGTACCGTCCAATGATAGGTCCATATCTCCTTGGAGTGCGCTCTCTAGGCTCTTAGACAAGGCATCTTGCCGACGGCTAACGGAATATTCGAACGCGACAGCGCCGCTGCATCCATGCCAGTATGCCTATAGGCCGCGTCACTCGACCGAGGATGCCGTGCTCGCCGCAGTTGAACGCCTGGTCACCAACACCCGACGGTCTTGCATCGTCTGTAACGGCGATCGATTAGTCAAAGGCGTTTGATAGCATCGACCACATCTCCCTGCTTACCAAATTGTCTTGGCACGGTGGCACCGATGTGGGATGGTTTAGGAGCTATTTGAGTGATCGAGGGCAGGTGGTGCGTGGAGGGCGGCTCACTCTCCCAATGTCGTGCGGTGTACCACAGGGCTCGATCATCGGTCTAGTTTTGTTCAGTTTGTTTACCAACGATCTACATGGACACTTGACTCATGGTCGCCTCCTCTCCTACGCTGACAACGCTATGCCCGTGGACTGCGTGCCCTTGACAGTGCCCTTTGTCTGGTCAACGAGCCTGGTCTCAAGGTTGTTATTTACCAGCTCGTTGTCATGGGCAAAAGACAGCAAATGCAATGATATGGATCAGGGAAGCCACGACAATGCCTTAACGAAAAGCTGATTATCAATCAAGTTTTTGCTTTCATAAGGAGCGACGTCTTCTGACATCGAACTACCCATCCATGAAGTCAATGGCGAAACGTCCGTGAACCAAGCCGAAAGATTTTCATAGAAAGCCAAAAAAGTCATACGTAGATCAAAGATTTCACCGAAATTTAGCGATGGGCGAACGCACGTGCAACCACATAAAAAACGTGACCCGAAGCTGATGACTGTCTTTGACGAAAACCATGCAGGGCTGGTCCATGTAAACCATATAGAGCTAGTCCACATGTTAGAAATGAATAATAAGTCAGCAAGAATACGCGCTGCATCAGAAAAGCCTGGCATCTCACTCAGAGCCGTTTGGATCATTCTAAGCGACTGACCGCTATCGTTTTTACGTTTTGCCCCAGAGGGACGCAACTGTT